CTTCTAAAGAAACCAGTTCCCAGCACAAGGTGGCACCCAGGAAGGAAGCAACGGTGTGCTGGCTAGCTGGGAAAAGAGCCCCTTTGCATGCTGAATATGTAGCTAATTCCTGGCCAAAAGCAGGCAAGACTTCAGCTGAAACCCCAGAAGGACATGGGTGAACCCACTGAAAAAGCAGCTATTGCCCAAAATCTCACAGGTGCCTGACTGAAAACAGAAAGCCTCCACAAAAAGTCACTGAGACGGAGTTGTGAATCGCCCATACGCTCCAGCAGATGGAGCAGCAGCTCTCGCTCTCCTGTGTCTTGCTCTTCCGGACAGATGCTGCTGATCTAGAGAGCAGCAGGCTGGGGTGGCAGCTCCAGCTGGGACACTCAGCAGAGCACTGTGGCTTTGCAGCACTCGACAGCCTCTCTTGTACATTTGGGACATATGGAGGGGCTGGAACAGCCACCTTGGAGAGCCACAGTAATTCACTCGCATTGAGTCATCTGCGATGAGCGTTTTCCTCTCGTCTCTTGCAGGAGCAGCTGGAGAGCCTGGATTCCCAGGACCAAAAGGTGAGCTGGTTTAGTTAAACTTCCACCCTGTGCTGTTCTGGAACAACAGAACAAGTGGGAGCAACTATAGAGAAATAAAAGTACCCCACCAGGTACTGGATGGGGCTGTTTGGTGACAGTTGTGCTCCATTGTAGGCTCAGCCCTGGTTTGGGTGGTGTGAGCAGCCCCACTCCCAAACCAGCTGTTCAGCCACAGGGGTTGCCCCCAGCTTGGGTGGTGCCCAGCACCACCAGCCACAGAGACTGCAGGGCTTCACACACCCCAGCCTGAGGGACCAGCCAGATCAGGGCAGACCTCTGAGCTTCCCGTGCGATGACAAAAGGCAAAGGCTTGGATGAAACTCAGTCACTGCTAGTGCCAGAGGAACATCTCTCTCTACCAGCACTAGCAATAGAGTAGAGGGAAAACATGCATCCTGCTTGTGAGAGCCATTGGCACCTGTTGCTGAGCGCTATCTGCTCTGCGGCTTCCCTCACTGGAGCTTGGCTTGTAATAGCTGGCGGCCAAGCACTGCTGATCTGATGGGAAGTTCAGCACATTTGCTCCAGCTGTCACAGCTGCTCCCAAACCACTGACTAAAGCCCTCTGCCAGTAGCAATCATTCCCTTCTCAGGGCTTTTGACTCTGCCTTCCATGGGTGCATTTCCTCCCACCTGCTCCTGTCCTAGCCCAATGGCACAAAATGTTGGTACCCAACTCCGTGGGCTGGCCAGCAGCAGGCAGAGCAGCCAGGTCCAAAAGAGACACATCTTATGTCAGTCTTGCTATTTGGACCTCCCAGCCCCAACTCAGATGTCAGGGGAAAATATATCATGCCGGGTCCAACAGCCTAAGAGAGGCAAGGCTGCTGCTCCTTGTGCATCTGTGATGTGTCCCACCTCCCTGGCTGCCACCTCATGTGCCTGCTAGGCATCCTGGAGAGCTGAGTATCACTGCTGTAATTACAGGAGTCTGTGAATTGGGTTTCCACCTGCCACTGTAGCTCTGTGCTCTCCTGGGTCTGTCCAGATGTGCCTTTGATGAGCTGGTGGGTCTCCTCTGGTGGGCCTGGGAGCAGCCGGGCCAGAACATATATTGAATTACTCCTCCCACCTGGTTTTTCTGTGCCTCTGTTGTGTAGGCAGATGAGCTAAACACTTCTCTTAACATCACAGCCCTCTGCCAGTGCAGCAGGATTTGTCTTGAAAAGCAATGATGCCAAGTGCTGGAGGAGGGGAGGGCAGGGTGTGGCAGGTGAAGAGCAATTGATGGTGTTGTTTGTCCAACAGCAATGAAAGGAGAGCCTGGTTTTCCAGAAATATGGGGTGAGTGTCATCCTAGGTCCTTCACGCCACCATTGGCTTTGCAGAGCAGATAGTGGTGGACTCCCTGCACCAGAAGTCAGGACAGAGCAGCAATAAAAACAAATTCAAAGTGACATTGAAGGACTGAGTAAGGAAGTATCACAATTTGCTTCTCACAGCCACATGCAGCTTCTGTGTAATCCAGCCAGGCCAGGGAAGTCATGTCCTCTGAGCATTACTAGAGTCACCCTCACTCTGTGTGTCCTGGAGGAGGTCTGTCTTAGTTTTTGAGAGTCTCAGTGTTCTGGTGTCCAAGATGAAACAACTAGAAACACCTGTACAGACATACTGGTACTTCAAAGGCAGTTACACCACCATGTTTGCTGTGGCATGTTCAGTAGACACAGAGTTCACATGTGTCATAGTGCTCAGAATAACTTATTCATTAAAAAAATAAAAAAGAAAAAAAGAAAGAAAAAAAAGAAAACAAACAAGCTTCAGTTGGCCCATGTGTCTCCAGCAGATAAAGCCAAAGCAAAGCCACAACTTACTCTGGCTACACATGGATACCATAGGTCCACAGTGATGTGCAAAGGCTCGGGCAGATGAGAGCTGCTGTAACACCTGAAAGAGAGAGACTGGGATGCCACTGAATGGGCCCCTTGTGGCCCCAAGCATTTCTCTGCCCTTTTACTTTTCCTGGGGATGTAAAAACATTTGGCTAATAAGGAACAGGCCAAGTCCAGGACCATGCCTCTGTTAGGAAGGACACCCATGCCCATAAGTCAGCCTGGTACAGCTGTGTGTCCATTCATCGAATGCAGCACACACAGACACCTGCACCACCTGCACCACCATCTCAGATCATCTCCCAAGATGCAGCTATAAGCGGGGACGTCTGATAGGGACCGTTCCAGTCAATCCTTTGGCATCTGTGAATCTGAGCTTCTGTCATCAGATGTGGTATTGAGGACTAAAAATAAATTTATACATAATATGTATGTATATATTCAAAAGTGCTGTCTGTCCAATCCACAGGGGTGATCTGAACACTGTTTTCTGTAATACAGGTAGGTGTTTTTCTGTGTCACCACTCCTTTGCTGCCAACTACCCACACACTCTTCTGTGCCCTCCATAAGTACCTGAGCCTGGACAAATTCCTGGATCATGACTGTCATCCCGCTCAGAGCAGCCTCATGACCCAGATTCCAAAAGAGTTGTTGCAGATGAAAGGAGTCTGAGCACCTTAGACCGTCTCTCAGAAGGTGCCCATCTCCCCTGTGACATATGGACTCAGAAACTGCAGCGGGGTTTGGCTCGCAGATGGAGTGCGCCAGAGTCCTGCAACGCAAAGAGCCAGCTGGGAGGCTGAAGGCATCAAAGCCTCTGGCTTAGGGCATGAGGCTGATGTGCTCCCTGGGTGCAGTGAGCATGTTATAACTCTTGATCTGTTTCCCTGATTTGCACAGAAGCCAGGAACTGCCAAGAGCTGTTGGCTAAAGGGAAGATTCTGAGCGGCTGGTACACCATCTACCCTCAAGGCTGCAACGCCACCACCATCTTCTGTGACATGGACACAGATGGCGGAGGATGGATTGTGAGTAGGATGAGGAGGGGGAGGTTTCTATGTCCCTACAGTGATTTTTATTAAGGCTGCAAAAGATTGCACCAAAATAGAAACAAAAAGGGAGGGGACAGCTGAGGTTCACCAGTGAGGACACACTGAGGGGACAGCTGAGGTTCACCAGCCTGGGTGAATCCCTATGGATGCAGGAGGTTCTCCTGGGAGATGTCTCTGGGAGCAGGCTGAGCACCACAGACCCTTCCCCTGCTTAAATCAGCAAATAATTTCCTGCTCATTTCCGACGGCAGACAGAGGTGATCTGTGAGCAAGAACCCAGAGACCTGCATGAGTGTCCTGATGCAGGGGGAACATGCTGCAGGGGGCCGTATCACCCGGGCACTGCAGATGCTTTCGGGGGGGCCTGGTGGGGTTAAGGCTCTCCTTTCCTGCAGGTTTTCCAGAGGCGCTGGGATGGGTCAGTGAACTTCTTGCGAGATTGGGACTCATACAAACGAGGCTTTGGCAACCAGCTGACAGAGTTCTGGCTCGGAAATGACAACATCCACTTCCTCACCTCACTGGGTAAGGTCTGCCTCCGTCCTGGGCTGAAGACCTGACAGTCCAACCCCTGTACCACACTTGGTCATTAAAGGACTCTAAACTTATCTCATCCATCTGAAGCCCCAACAGTTGATCCTAAACAGCATGCAGGCTCTTGCAGCCCATTGCACACAGGGAATTCACTCTAAAAAAACCGAAAACTAGAAGCCAGGGAAGACAATGAGCTGGCTGCATGACCTATCCTGGAGACAGGCCAATACATCTTCCTGCTAGGACTGGTTGTGGTGGCAGCCATCTTGTTCACACACAGCCTTGGAGTCACAGTTGTCTGCGGGACTCCTGGGCGTGTAGCTCTCAGTGCCCATGACCACCCAACATTGGACACGAAAAGGTGCTTCACAAGAAAACCATCAAAGGTACAGAAGGTTCTGCAGAACTTCAAATAAATCATAATCTCTCAAGTAGTGGAAACTCTTCTCAAGTTAGCTCAGGGCTCCCTAAACCCTCCATTCTGAAATCCAGGTGCATATTCACCATCAGCTGTCAACCACTGCACCACTGCTGTCAACCTTCTCTTCTAGGACCCTGTGAACTCCGCATTGACCTGAGAGACTTTGAAAACAACTACTATTTTGCCAAGTATGCTTCATTCAGAGTTTTAGGAGAGTCTGAGAAATACAAACTGGTCCTAGGAGACTTCCTTGGTGGAAACGCTGGTAAGTTAGCAGCAGCTCACTGGGAAAGGCTGTTTTCTAGAGCATTTCAGAAGTGTTCTGCATTTATAGTGCAGAGCTGTATCATGCAAATTCCTTGTCATCTATATATTGGGTCAATTTTTTTAAAACTGGCTATGGTAGCCCAGGTGCTGAGTGGCCTCTGGTGTAGGAAAGGACAGGGACGCCCTGCAGAGTCTGACCCAGAGCATTACCTACAAGCCCAGCCACGTGGTATAGCAGCAAATGTGGAACCTCATCCTGAGCAGCACCTTATCCAATGTAATCTTCCCAACAGCTCTGCAGGGAAGAGAAGAACTTGTTGGGCCAAGTTCTGCTTTTGGTTACATTAGAATGAAATATTTGTCTGTGAGGTTTGGCATTTCCAGGGCTGGGCTGCTGTTCAATACTTGCAGCGTCAGTACTGCATCCTCTTAATGCCTGATGTTTTGTTTTTCTGTAAAAAGCAAACAAATCCTCTACAAAATTCAATACCCCCTTGCAGGAATGAGTGAAACCAACACCTGAGACAGCAGTGCTCTGGGTTTATGTGTTTATGTTTCTGTACACTGCAACTCTGTCCAATAGTCCAGACCTCAGTATGTCTGCAGAGAATCTGAGCAGTGCAAGAGAAGCGACACCCATGTAACTGCAAGCAAAATCTGGCCCATTTGATTGACAGGCATAGACAAGTTCTCCATGTGTTTTAGCTGTCCTGGCAGACCTCAGGATAATCCTTTTCTCCAGGACCAAGGATGAAACCTGGGCAACCAAGAGAACAGCAGGATTTATAAAATCTGCCTTGCAACCAGGAAGGCCCACTGATGCCCTGCAGCAGTGCACAGACACTTTAGGTTCCCTTTTGTGCTCTCTATTGTAGTAACTGTGAATGTGTACTCTCTGCAGGAGACTCCTTATCATACCACAAGGACATGCCATTTTCAACAACAGACCAGGACAACGACATGAGCTCCTTTAACTGTGCCACAGAATACAAGGGAGCGTGGTGGTACAATGACTGCCATTACTCCAACTTGAATGGGATGTACTGGCCAGGCGTTCACAGGAGCTATGCTGATGGCATAAACTGGAAGACAGGCAAAGAATACCATTACTCCCATAAGCGAACAGAAATGAAATTCAGGCCAGTTTAACACAGCGAGAGGGTGTCTGACTAGCACCAACAGGTGCCACTCAACAGCTAAGAGAAGACACAAAACATAATGTTGTTTAAGGGCAAAACTGGACCAGGAAGGATATTACAGGTTGTGCCTTCAGCGTAGAGCAGACTTTTAGAGACCAGAAGAGAGAAGTGCTAGTTCGAGCTCCTGTAAGCACCAGAATGTCATCCTGGATGATCTCCAGCAGCCCACAGATGCTGACTGAGCCCAAACATCTTTTTCTGAAAAGTGTGTTACCTTGATTTAAAGACCAAGTGATGGTGAGGCTACTGCATCTCAGTAAACCTCACAGATATTATTACCCTAAATGGTAATTACTGGTAATTTTCAGTCTAATCCATGTATGTGAAGCCTCCATTGTTCTTGCAGCCTCTTCCGTTGGACCCAAGAGCCACCTGAAAGGCATTGAATTCCGGACCACCCCTCTCTCCCTGCAGGCTGTGATGGAGCCACAATGTAGACCAGCACGGAAAGGACTGAACTTCCACACAGGGCTGTCATCACTGCCACATCCCTCCTTCCCACCGCCTCACACAAGATGTGCTCCAGGACCTCAGGTGGAACCTCAGCTCCTGGAACTACAGTAGCATTGCCCAGCACTTCCCACCACAACACAGCTGCAGCTGCGACCAAAGCCAGCTTCAGCCCCTCCTCCAGGGCACATTCCTAGATCTCATTCTTTAGCCTCTGTGGACCAAGAGACAAACCAGTCTGTCCAGCAACATGTGTGGTACCAAGACACTACAGTATTTCCAAGTCAAGCCATGGACATCATGTAAATCACCAGCAGGTACCAGTATCTTCCATTTCACCATGTTTCCAGTAGCATTTGAAGATGGGCTAGCTGCTGGCAAATGGAGGCAGTTTATCCAGTTTGTGTGATGTTTTATTTGACTATTAGCAGAACTGGTTAAAGGGTCTCTTCCTCCTTGACTGCTGCTTCTGGACTCCCCCCCAGAGCTGATGCTGGGGAGGAGAGCCTAGTGCTAACTCCTCACTGCAGGGACGGACCAGAGTCAGTGAAAGGAGAGTATTTATTTGTGTCATGTTCCTAATGGTCTTAGGTTTATCACACTTTTTATTGCACAGCTGTGTAGCAAGGGCATCTCCAGCCCTACAACATGGAATCCAAACCATGTGGGTGAGAAAAGTAAAGAGGCCACTCACCTAGCACACCACAGCAGGTCAACAATATGCTAAGAAATAAATCTGAGGTTTTGCATCTCCCTATTCACTTGGTCCTGTCCCTGCTCACTTCTCCTTTTCAGGTACATGAGAAAGTATGCATCTGAGAAGAGAAGCACACATTGAAAGTCCCATAGTCACTTCCCCATCCCCAAGAGCTCTGTTTTGTCTTTCTCCTACTCCCAGCCAGATTGATGTGCCCTCAGCAGGAGCAGGAGCAGGAGCAAGGTCCCACAGCATTCAGCTGTGTCTCACCCCATCAGAGAGGCCCAAGGGGCTGCCACAGACAGATCTGCAGGACCACAGGCTCCTCTGCAGAGATGTACGAGCTGGTGCTGACATCCTCAGCTTTAACCTAGCTAAAAGTGCTGAATCCCCTTTCTCTGCTCCCCTCTATCTTCTCCTCTTACTACACAGAAACCTTCAATGTTTAAATGTTGTCTGTGAAGGACACCGATGTTAGAGGGATTATGGCCACACCAAGAACAGTTTACCCAAGCCCATCTAGTCAATATTTCCAGACCGCCACCTGACTCCATAGAGGAAATATTCAGGTATGACCAGCCATCACCAGCGCCAGGTGACGTGGTTTGGACCTGGCTGCAGAGTGAAATTCTCTTGCATCCCCTCAGCTGGTGCAGTGAGCCAGGGGCTGGCACTACCCCCCCTCCAGCATGAGCCCCAACCACTGCAAGGCAGAAAAATGCTCACTGTGCTGATACAGGCATGTGGGGGAGAGGATCCTTGGCATTGATGGTCCATCCCAGGCACAATGCCTGCAGCAGTCACAGAGAGGGCTTGCACTGACTCCAGACAGAGAGAATTGAACCACTAAGGTCAGTATCCCGTTCCCTACATACATATACATACTACGAGCGCAGAGGTCCCACCTCTCCTCAAGAGGAGGGTTCCCACTCCTCCATCAGCTGTCACAACTGACCAGTGGGGGAAAGAGGCAGTTTCAGCAGGCATGGGGTTAATTTCCCCAAGGATGCAGCAGGGGAGTCCGGGCTATATGGGGGAGCTGGCTGGGAGAGGGGGTGGGAAGTCACAGCTTGGAGCAGGCTGGCGCTGCCTGGGACTGGTGGGTGAGCCGTGGTATCGTAATCGCATTTGTACATTCCTCTATCGGTGTTATTGTTGTTGTTTTTCTCTTTCCTTTGTTGTTCTGTTAAACTGCCTTTATCTCAACCCACGGGTTTTGCCTTTTTCTTCTGATTTTCCCCCAGGGCTCTGAGGGTTGAGCAAGCTGCTGCGTTCTTTGTTGGCGTGGCTCTTTGTTGCCGGCTGAGGCAAAACCACGACAGGTAGGGAACAAGTTTGAGATGTCCTAAAGAAATATGCTCCCAAGCTGTCAGGATACCATCCAGTCCCTCTTGCTTTCCATCCTCTTGCCAAGGGTTCCCAGAAGAAAAGCAGAATAGTCCCAGTCAGTCTGTGACTGATCCTGGCCACTGCTCATCTCAGGGCTTTTTCCTGTGTGCTGGAAAGCTCAAGGATCAGATTTGCATTTTGTTTGAAAACCCTCTTCTGCTCATTAGTGGATCTGGAAAGGGCCAACCCTGAAGCCTAGAAATGACAACATCCCTGGAGCTTCTCTACACATTTCCCTTGCTAGAAATAATGACAAGTGAGGCTGGGGAATCATCAGAGGAGTAGGGTGGGCCAGGCTGTGGGGAGAGGACCTGGTTTCTACCGTATCAGGGAGCCTGGAGAAGAGGCTGGAAACATCTCTGATGCACAGCCATCTGAAAGCAAAAGCAGGGCCAAACTAGTCCTCTCAGACCCCACCTAGGCCAGCCTCCGGGCCAGACCAGGGCTGTCTCCAGCAATACCCTCCTGCATTGTCTGCGACATGGGAAGACCCAGCAGTCCAAACCACTGACGGGATTAGTGCCAGCATCCAAGGGCTGAATAGATGCTCTTTCCAGGGAGGAACACAACACTTTGGGCATGTGCGAGTGGACATAGCTGTAAATCTGAAAGCTGTTTGACTCCAGAAAAATGGACTTCAAAAGGAAAATTATTCTTTCACCTAACACTGATGACTATCATGTAAGGAGCTCAGATAAATGAGATTCTGCACTGCTCTATGATTTGTGTTTGCATGCAGCAGACCCAGTAGCCTGGGCATAGTGAACACCTTCCTCCAATTTTCTGAGGTGTCCTTGTGAGAGGGTTGCATCTGAAGAGTAACTAATGCCATGTATGCGTAAGCATAAAACAAGCTGCAGCTGGGGAAGGGAAATCATTTCACTGTGTTTTTGTCCTTTTGGCTTATGGGCTGTTGGGGTAGAAAAGAGGAATCCACCACTCTTTGCACTATGCTTGTGCTGGTGCTGTTACCTTGTGTCCACCCAAAGTGGTGAAGTGAACGGGTGACTTAAGACACCAGCTGGCCCTGCCACAAACCGAGGGCACGGGGGATCAATGGCCTCAAAATACCACTCTCTCATAGATAATGCTCTGCTGTAAATTACTTTTAACTAAAGGTTTATTGTGCCAGCTATGCTGATAGAGCGTGAAGCTATTTGCTTAGTTGTGTTCGGAAACACGACATTTCGCCAGCACGACTCAGCAGACCCAGGATGAGGAAACACAGCAGCTGATGTGGAAAAGAACCACTAGACTTTATTCCCAAATGGCATTTATAAAAACAAACAAATGAAGACACAATGGAGGAGGCAGGGAATCAT